GGCTCTCAAGGCCCGCCTCTTACCTTTGGTTCGGGTTTCTATAAGGGTTTAGGGATTTAAGGTTTCAGGGTTGGGGTTTTGGGGTTTGGGGTTTCTTTCCTTTGCTTAGTAGGGAATGGAGGCCTGGGGTACAATTATAACTAACTACTATTACTACCATTCTTCCATTCCCTACTAACCAAAGGTACGTCCGCCAGCTTTCGGAGAGCTCACAGCAGCCCTAAGAAACCTCATAAGACCGAGAATAAGACCTCTAAAGCCCTTCAAAAAGTCTGTTTGTAAGGATTTCCACAAAAACCTCATAAGAACACCCTGGACACGACAAGATACTGTAGAAAGCTTTTTTGGGGGTGCCAGCGTCCTCCTGGAAGTCCTCTGAGGTGCCGAGAGCTTCAACAAGGCTCCAGCACCGGAAGCAGGCTCGGATCCCGGTAACGGCTTTGCGCCAGGATTCTCGGTGTTTGAGACCTCAGAGAGACCCTCTTGAATCGGCCTAGGGTGTAGGGGGCTTAAGAGTTTAGGGCTTAAGGGGCGCTTGGTCAGGGATGTATGAGGGTTTGGCGGGGCTGACTATAATAAGGGTCTTAAGCTCTTAAAGGATGCCCAAAAGCGCCTTATTATTGGGGGTTTTGTAGAGGGCTGTCTAGGGTTGAAGAAGGGTTCATAAGGATGCCAGATGTAGCCAGAAAATCCCGAGCATCACCGCTCAGACCCGAGTCCAAAGGGACCCCCTAAATTATCTTCAAGCCTTCAAGGGGTAGATCCCATGATCTCATGGTTCAGGGTTTAGGGTCTAGGGGTTTCAGTTTCAAGTCTGGGAGTTCAGGGTTTCCCCCGTCCAAAGGTATTCACGTGGTGGATTTATGTTTTGCCCTTCCCTCCCCGAGAAGACTCCGAAAGCCCCGAAGCCGAGGGGCAGTCGACCCAGCGACAGAGGAGGTCGGAGGGGGGGTTTAGGGTTTCAAGGCCTTAACTTTTGGTTTTTGGGTGCGGGAGTTTCGGGAAAAGAGATCAACAAGTCAAGTTTGAGCCGCCCTGCAAAGCTCGTGGTCCCAGGCCCCCGAGGCCTGAACTTCAGGCTTTGTGGTACGCGACCCTGTGCCCTAAAGCCCCACAGACTCCAACCCTCCATCTAAATCCCAAATCCTAAACCCGGTCTTCGACGTACCGTCGGGAGCGCATGGCAGCCTTAAAGAAATAATCCGTCTAAGCCTTTTACCCTAGACCTGAGACCCTACACCCTTAACCCCTAAACCCCAAATCCTGAAAGGCTTCCCAAGCCGCCCCTCTGCCAGACATGGCATTTCAACTAACCTTTGGGCAGATGGAAAAAAGGGCTTAAAAAACAAGCAATCCTAAACGCCAACCCCCCTAAAACCCCTTAATCGCGTCAGGTGGATTCGGAGGCCGCGGAGGGGGAGGAGGGTGGCTCCCGGCTGCGCCAACTCTGCGACCGCTTGCAGGCAGAGGCCGGCCCATGATACTAAAGTTAATGTAGTATAGTCTATCATATACTGTAGCATCGTAGGGTATGGCTTACCAATTGAGTATAGTATATATCATACCAGAGTACGTATGAGTATATGACGTGCAGAATGATTGTATACACTATCTCATAGCGTAGTATCGCATATGATAGCATATAGTGTGCAATGGTGTTGCTGTTGCTTTAGGGGGAGAGTCGGAGAGGCCGGGATGTTGGCTGGTCTTTGGGAGGTTGCACCTGCCATCTTGCTGGGGAGTTTAGGGGTTTTGGTGGATTCGCAGGGCTTTTTGACTTGGAGTATATTTTCGGATTTCGAAACAGGGTTTTAGGAATGAGATGGAATGAGTCGCATTTTTGAAGTAAGTATGCCCCAAAACTGCATCCGACTTGTTTAAGATATGGGAGCGGCTATGATCCAGAGAAAATGTACGCAGAGGCATGCTGGAAACTGCGAGTCTACGATAGCCTTCAGGGAACAAGACTCAAGTGTCACCGCAGGCCCACAGTCAAGGATGGTAGAACGTGACGAACCAAATGTCCTGTTGCGATGGACACGGGCGAAGAGGGTCCAGCAAAAGCAACGACTAGGTTTTGCACTACTATGCAGAATCGAGGCACAAAGAGAGAAGAGCATCGTAGTTGAGATCTTGCTCGCCAGAACAGACTTGCTAAATTTAATGTGGACGAGAGAAGTAAGAATGGCCACCGTGCCCAGATCGAACGATGCATAAAGCTTGTCACAGGCACTAGGGCCACTAGGGCCACCCGTGCAGCTACTTCCACCGCCACCACCACCGCCACCATCATCATTATAGTGAGTGTATGTCGGATCTTCCCAATATTAGCTGTATATTCAAGTTGCGTGTTCGATCGTCCTGATCTTTGTCAACTGTCTGCTTTTGAGGTGGAGGAGCTCAAGGGCCAGCTGCAGAGCTCCAACTCTAAGGAGCTGAAGGCACCTTCCTCCGGGGTTCTGTTTCGGGCTCCTGCTTCATATCATGGAACCCTACAGTACCCCCTGAACGCACTGTATTATAAAACCTATACCCTTAAAGGGGCTCATTCGGCAGCGCAGGCTGCCCAGAAACGCATCAAGGAGCTGGAGCGCCAGCAGCAGCGGCAGGACATGTGAGAAGTCATACAAACCAACCTCACGTCGTGCTCATGCACCTGATCTTGGTGCTTCGCATCATAACGGTGATGGTGATGGTAATGATGATGAGGATGATGATACTCGCAATGCTGAGGGTGGGGATGACGATGCTGAGGGTGATGACAAGCATGATGATGTTGAAGCAGACAAGCAGGATCATAGTGAGGATGCCGATCGAAATGGATCATGAGCGCACATGCCATCAATAGCACGGCGACAATCACTTAAAGATGATGATGATGATGACGTTGAAGAACAGGAAGAAACGGATGATGGCAGTGGTGACAGTGAGATTGATGACGGTGGTGAGGAACGAAGATTGGTGTTGACGGTTGTGTGATGATGACAGTGATGGAGGTGATAGTGCGTGGTATGCAAGGAGGAGGAAGGATGAAGGTGGCGACAAAGACCCTGCAGAACATGACCCTGCTACTGCTGACAGCGACTGGCACTGTTGTGACAATGTCACGATGCCTGGGGGCTTCTGTGACGGCATGTGTGATGGTATCGGCGATGTGTTTCTTGTGATGGAATGCTGATGTTGATGGCCGCGGGTAATGTTGACAAGAAGATATTGAGTATGCTTCTTGTCATGGTCAGGTTTATAGTTTATACCGTTCAGGAAATCTCGTGTCACAAGTGTTCGTAGTGACAACAAGCTGCCTGATATGCAGAGCCATCCAGAACTTCACCGAAAGCCTGCCGTTCATCGGGGTGGCTATTTATCAACATGGCACGCCAATATGGCTACGATTGCTCCAGCCTTGTCGCCATTGCCTTTGCCAGCATCACGCTATCATGATGACTAGTATTCCGATGGTTCCTGCAATCATTATTCTTGTAATTGTTGCTCTCTGTCTCTTGTGACTGTCAATGTGTTGTGTCACTGTCACAATTGTCGTTCTTACCATCAGATCTTGGCGACACCAGGAGGGTCAAGACTCCAGGGACTTGACCATCTCAGCTCTACGGGAGACCAACATGCAGATGCAGGACGGGGCAGACGCTACGATGCAGTAGCGGGGTAGTAGTGGTGGTAATAGTAGTAGTGGTAGCCGTAGCGGGCTTGACCGGCTGGCAACAGCACGATGCATCGCCATTTGCCGCCAGATAACACGTCTTGTGATGTTTGATCTGCAGCTGTCGGTCGAGTCCTTGCTGAAGTGATCCTGAAACTTCCTTTGGGGCCAGCGCAGCAGTAGTGGCAGCAGTAGCAGGAGTACGTAGTAGAGGATGACGAGGAGGAGTGGGAGTGGGAGTAGGAGTAGGAGTAGGAGCAGTAGGCAGGAGCAGGAGCAGGACCAGCAGCAGGAGCGGCTGTAGTAGTGATCAGGAGTAGCAAGCAGCAGAGTCCGTTCGCTGAGCCCTCAATTCTGAAATATTGTTGTAGTCTGAGTAGCATTCGTGATGATTGTGATGTTGGTTGTACGAGCCTTCGCTCTATTTCGTGCTCACCGGAAGTCTCTGTAACGCAAAACCCTAAGCCCATCGAAATCTTGTAGGAACCTGAGGACTAAGCCCTTACAGAAATCGTGGGAACCCTAAACAGCCGTGGTCAGGCCGAACTTGACCGGCGAGGTCTAGACTTAGCAGCTGCTCGTCGAAAGGCTGTGGAGGTGCGCGACAGTTTCTCAAATTTCCGATCGAACTGTCGCCGGCAAGCCTTCATCCCACCTCTGCGGCCCAGTTATACAGTAAGTTGGTCTGGAAATCAAAGACTGATCAAAGACTAAACCCAACCAAACTCTGACGAAGAGTTTTGCAGGCGGAGAAGCGCTTGTCGGAGAAGGAGGAGGTGCAGTGCAGGGTGCTTTAAGTATACAGTGATGGTTATGCAACACTATCACAGACGAGAGCCAGGATGCACTTCGCCAAGTTTCACCAAGCATTGTCATCATCACTAGAGTCGCTGTGAGCATCGGCACCAAAAGCAACATGAATACTCATGTTCACATGCTCGTTGACATCAGCAGCAGCACCGACACAAACATCCCCCACGCCAGTAAGATTCGCAGCAACATTAGCGTGAGGCGGGAACATCAACAAGATGATGCAGGTGATGGTGATGGCGGGGATGATGATGGTGATAGTATCGTGATGGTGACGATCCATCTACCAAATATCGCCAGCTGTTCCAAAGTGACATTAGAGGAGGGGACTAGAACCTCGCTGAAGTCCAAAATCCTCACATCCGGGTTAGACGCCAGGGCGTGCGTTTGCAGATCATTTGCTGTTTATGGGTGTAGGGTTCAGGGTGAAGATATCGCGTTTCCAGGGCACCCATTCAAACCAGAAGAGGTAGGTGCCCGCGCCGCTCTCAAGTTTTGCGATAGTTTTGTGCTGACGCAAACGTCTCTGGCAGTGGATCGTGGCTTTAGATCAGTCTGAGGATGACATCGGTCGCGTTGGCGATCCTGTTTGCATCCTTTGCAAGAGGGCACGCGGTCCAGGGGGGCAGTGAATGTCCCTGGAACCTGCCCAGGAGACTCTCCGGAGTCAGCCTTGCTTCAGACTGCAGCGACCGAGCCAGAACATACAGTCATTCACCTATGCGATCCCCAATTGGGCCTCCACCAGCAATATGTCAACGCCACCGACTGGGAGGCTGAGCTAAGCATTGTTTCCGAGCTCATAACTCTGACAAACAAGTTCAAGCCTGAGTTCCTCTTAGTCGGTGGTGACATGCAGAACCTTGGTGCGCTGAGCAGGAACTGTTCAACCTTTTCTGGTGCAATAAACCCCTGTGAGGGTTTAGGGTTTTGGGGCTCCAAAGGCTTTGCAACGTTTCAAAGCTGGGCTAACGAGGAACTACTGGCCCAATGAGAAAGATGCAAACGGCAGTGCGGCGGTCGGGAGGAACCGCCTTGGCACTGATCCTACGCAGCCGATCCAAAGCGACTTAGATTAGGCCCTTGGAACATGTTGTTTCTTTCGCCTTGTTATTGGGTTTAGGAGAGGATCTCACTTAATATTTTGCCCGAAGCCTTGCAGCGACATGAACCCTGACAGCCCAAACCCCTTACAACCAATAACCCTGAACCCTGAAGTTGCTCTGAGGGTCTTGCAACGGGCCAATCCAGGTGATGAGTTTCTGCTCAGTGGTGAGCTTGGCAGCAGGCAGAGGGCTGAGCTCAAGAAGGTGCTGGAGTGTTCCAAAGGACCTCAGAAACCCAGACGGTTTGCACATAAATTAGGGTCCCCTTTTAATATGCCACCCTTGTGACAAGTACCCCAAAGGACCCTAATTTAGAGAACTATCCACATTGGCTTTCGGGTTTTAGGTCAGGGTTAGGCACAGCGTTTGGGGTTTCGGGATTCGGGTGTAGGACTAGGTGCATGATGTAGCTACTCAAGAGCCTAGTAGTATGGTTTTCCAACCTGATTCAAGAATGATCTTCCGGCCTCGGGGTCCGACCGAACTCTCAAAGGGTTTCAGGGTGTAATGTCTCTGACATACCCCAGTGCTGGGGCTGAGTTTGCAATCAGTCGTTTTTCCTATCGGCCCAGCTTCCTCTTTGAAAATGTACAACCCATTGAAATGCAGTCTCTCTGGGGGACCCAACAGTCTAGCTCAGAGGAAGAGTGGTGACCACGGCCGGCAACCATGACATCGGCGACACTCCCGTTGGAGTATGTGACGAACTGGGGCCCACACTATGCAGTCTTCCGCAGCTAGATTGCCCAGGAGACCCCTCGATTCCGTGTTTGTTTGAGGTTTCGCTTCCCTTTTTAAGCTCTGTCAGGCCAAAAAGTAGGTGCACGTTGTAGAGAGCATCTTGCTGGGCAGCCCAGGCAAGCAAAAGGTCCTGTATTTGCAGATCAGCTCACAGCTCTATTGGGATGCATCGGACGCAGCCACTGCAGCGTTACAGGCGGAGCAAACCGAGTGGCTTGAGCAGACCTTGTCGACGACATCTTGGAGTTCCATCAACCGCACCCGGGTTCTTGTTACGACATAAATCGCACTGTTTACTATATAAGCATAGCCTCGTAGCTCGGTTACTTAACAACAACCCAGGCATCGTGATTCTCACGCACATCGCGCCGTTCTATGCGAACCACACGGAAATCCATGGATGGGGAACCTGGGTTGAAGATTGGTGAGGCTTTTCGCTTTTGGAGCCTGAGCAAGCATGATAACGAGAGTAATAAGGGTGGAAGTGTCGCAGTCTCGGCCCAGGAAACTGGCCGCTGTCTAGCAGGATCCAGGTCCTGGACCTTCTCACTCAGTATGCTGGTGGGGAGGTGGCTGTACCTGTGCTCTGGCTTTGCGGCCATTTCCACACAAACGTCGAGAACCTTGGATACGTGTATGAGTCTAGCCAGCATGGCAAGGCACTTACCATGGACATCCTGGTCACAAGCTCCGCAGGAACCAGCATCTGGTGGACGGGTGCAGATGGCTCGCTGCCACCGGAGAATGCATCCGAAGTCGGCAGCAAGCTCATAGGACAAGCCTTCTTCCAGGATGTCATTCTTGCTGGTGGCGTCGACGACCTGTTGCAACCATTGCCTGAGAGGTCTGGTGTAAGAGTTCTGACCATGCACATGGATGGCACCTACACGCAGGAGTGGAAAACGTTGGATGACATGCGCCAGCACCGGTACAGGTCGTACAGGACCAGGGGCACGCGCAGGTGGTCTTGGTGGCCGAGCCATAGGGCGCGAGCCGGTTCGGCTTAGGAGGGTAGCTGATACAGCTACACTCTGCAGTACCTACCGTACCTAGCTGCCCAGCCGCCCAGTCATCTGAATGATTGTTTTGTGGCGCGCTCGGGCCTTTTAACTTTAAACATGTACTTTATTGTGCCTGATCTCTCGGGAGAGAAGACAGGGAGCTCGGGGCAGCAAAAGTCATTCTCGTATCATGCCTCCAGGTTTCACGTATCTATCTCTCATCATCATCATCACATCATCATCAGCATCATCATCCATCAGCGTCATCACTATCGTCGTCACTATCGTCATCGTCATCATCGACACTTTCGTCACCATCATCGTCGTCATCATCACCATCATCATCACCACCATTATCATATCGGCATCGAGAGTATCACCGTCATAACTTGTCACAACCATCACTGCAACCATCGTCAACTAACGAGGACTGGGACAAAGCAAGACACCGTCATGTTCGGTGGCTATGCAGGTTTTCTCCGACACATGCCAACGGTTGGTCGAAGCACAGCAGCGCGTGGTGCAGCTGGAGGGTGAGCTCACCCATCAAAGGGAGGCAGATGGTTTTGAGTTTTGAAGGACAGGGTTCCCACCGCCTCGATGCAGCTAATCGTAGCAGGAAGTAATCAGATCCCTACACATAGCCCTGTGCTGCCTCACACGTGACATGGCTGAGGCATCCGTCGCTGCTGCATCTATGCCGTGTCGTGCTGCCTGCAGGTCCAGACATCACTCCAGAACCGATTGAATGGCCGTGGCCTCATGTTGCGAAAGGCATCCGGTCACCAAAAACCTCTGTCTGGCGCAGGGAGAGCACAGAGTTATTCTGCTTGCATGTGCACGTGAATCAGAAGCCTTGTCGACTGACAAGGCTTCACCAAGCTGAATCCCCGGCTGCCCAGCAAAACCTGACCCTTTCAAAACCCATACTATATAGAAGCCATGCAGTAAGGAATCGCAACCATGCTGCAGGTGCCCGAGCTCAGCAGACGGTGGCCGAGGTCGAGTTGAGGCAGCCGGAAACGACAGCAGGGATGTAGCCCTTATACATTGTGCTACAACCTGCACCGGAACCCTGGAAGGCCCTAAACCCAAAGCCCTGAAGCGCTGGCCCCCACCATAGTGGTATTCCGATTGCGCAGGAGGACGACGCGCTTCAAAAGGCAAACCAAACCACTCACTTGATCGATAACTTGCATCTCGAGCAGCCAACACTATAAACCCTAAACTCTAAACGCTAAAGCCAAAAGCCCTGCGGTCTCCTTCGAGGCAACCGGCAGGAGGAAACGAGGTTTCAATAAGCTAAACTCTCTCAAAAGCCTGGTGGATCCTGGCTGCTTCCGCTAGGGAATTTCGGCAGTCGGAAAGGGCCTGCAAAGCAAGAATCCTAAATCCTAAACCCTTGCAAAACTCGAAACAAACCCTAAACCCCTAACCTCAAACCCTAAACCTTAAACCGTTAAAAAAATAACCCTAAACGTAAAACTCGAGTCCCGGAAACGAGGCAGGCGAGGCACGCGCTTTCTTCGGCCACCGGCCTGGAGTCTGACCTGCAGAGGATCTCGGAAGCGTCTAGAACATGAGGAACACTATGAGTTCATATTAAAGGAACAAAAACACTACGAGTTGATACAGAAGGAGCCACAATACTAATACGATGAGTTAATCTAAACAGAACAAAACAGAACCATAATTTGAATAACATGAGTTGATATAAACGTATATAGATGGTGTATCATGATGCAATATCAGGCAAGATAAGCTGCGAGAAGATTCCCTAAGATGACAAAATGCACTGTATGATAGTGCCACACAGAGCCATATGATACAGCATCATATCGAATAACATGCTATGACGTAATATGACATAGTGTAGAGTCGAACCTTTTCATGTAGCATAGTGCCGTGAGGAGAAGTGTCCCTTATGGGAGCGGATCCTTTGCGACGCGCGCCCCAGCTGACTTGCAAACGCCTGACCTCAGCGTGAGCCAGGTGCACTGGCCGCATGAACAAGTTTTCGCAGACCTCAGACCGCAAATCCGAAACCCGCAACCCGAAATCCTAGTCATTAGTCCCAAAACCCCAAGCTCCAAACCTTGTAAGCGCACCTTAGACCCTGACTGCCTTTTGCTAACACTACTACTACTACTACTACTACTACTACTACTACTACTACTACTACTACTACTACTACTACTACTACTACTACTACTACTACTACTACTACTACTACTACTACTACTACTACTACTACTACGTTCTACTGATTGTAGTGGCCATGAGCGTAACTAGTTGTTTCTGCAACAATGATTCTTACTGTAATTCCCTAAACCCTAAACCCTACACCCGAAAAGGTCGCTTTGCATTAAAAGAGATCCTAAACCCTAAACTCCTAAACCCTAAACCCCATGCAGATCCTAAACCCTAAGCCCTGTAGCTGGTCTGCAGTTACGAAAAGGGGCTTTCAAAAAAAAACCTAAGCCCTAAACCCTAACTTATTCCTCTTGGCTAACCCCATCAGGCCGACGAGTTGGCCTCCACCGTGTCCGCGGAGAAAGCGCCTCCGAGCAGGTCCGACGAAAGAAGCGTCGAACGTTGAGTTCCTGGGTTTAGGCGGGTTTTGGGGGTAGGTTTAGGGTTTGGGGTTTGGGGTTCGGGCATTTTCCCTGGAACAACCAGGAGCAGCAAGGATGCGTATGCTCTTCTTTCTGACGGTCTGTTTCTAATGAGGTGGTCTTGCCCAAGCCTGTGTTGCAGGTTCATGGGCGCCGATTCGGAGAGCACCAGGCGCGTTCAGCAACGGTAGCACCAGATCAGCAGCACTGCTGTCTTTTGTAGTGTGATGGTCCAGTGATGGTTGTAACGGCAGCAGCGACAGCTGCAGTAGCACAGAAAGCATTTGCAGCATTGGCAGTATGCCAAAGACATGCTAACATGGTCATCCACCAGGGCCACTGCGTGTGCTCAGGGAGTGAGTGAGCGGAGGATGGTCCTGACGAGGTAGCCTCCCTGAACCATCCTGAACCCAACAATCGCACATGTGGAAAAATCATTCTGAGGCCTAGACCCGAAACGCTAAACCCTAAACCCGAAACCCTAAAGCCTGAGAGCCCTTGAAGCTTCCCGCAGCACGAAGGGAGACGCCAAAGGCCGCGCCCTTGCCCAGGAGTTCTCCACAGGCCCGGACATAGATTCCATCCCGTGGGGGGTGTTTACATGGGGTTAGAGGATGTGGGGTTTCGGGGTTGAGGTTACAGGAATGCTTACAGGTGATGATCCCATTAGCAAGAGAAGAGCCAATAATGTGACTGCTGCCTGAGTAGGAAGCACGCACGGTTGCCAACTGGAACAACTCAGCAGAGAGGTGATGTAAACGAAGAAAAGAAATAAGGGAGAAGTACTGACAGTAGGCCGAGGAGGGTTATGTATACATATATATATATATACACAGATATATACATGTACACTACACACACACAACAAACACACCGCAGTATCTCTGATTTTGATTTGAGGGAAGCCTTATTTGCGGAGTTGTGCTTTGTCGGGGCGTTTCGGCCAGCTTTGTTCGCGGAATGTTGCGTTACGGTAGGGGTCCCTTATCTTGAAGTCCTTTTAATAAGGATCCTACTATGTAGGGTACCATTTCTGCAAGTCTGAAGCATCTGCCGTCAGACGTGGATGGAAACTCCGCGCATTTGGCAGCCGGTTGGAGCTCTGGTGAGGCTCCGGGAAGAGATGCTCCTCGACCCTCGGGAGGATCTAGAAAGTAGATCCCCTAGTTTGGGGCCCTATACTACTAAGGGCACTTTCTAGGAACCCCCATTAAGGGATCTACCTTTTTGGATCCTCCCGGAATTCTGGGCTGCGGCTTCCACGGAAATCCATAGCACTCTGCCCAGCCATCTGCTCGCTTTCCTTTGTGTCGTGAGCAGTGGCTGCACCGGACAGGCGAATGCCCCCGTCGTAGGGCCCTCAGCTGCGCAAGAGGTAGGCCAGGCCGGCCCTGGCTATCATATGCTCCGTTGCAGTAGTGACAGCTGTGCTGGGCCGGAATGTAATGACTGAGTACCATTGTGGCGACTCAGTGGCATGCATGGATGGCCAATATCGCAATTCAGCATGCTGCCAGTGAGGATAGTACTCCCAGCTCAATCAACAGGGGAGCTTCGGGTTCGGATGTTGCCGAGGAGTGAGCTGACTCTGAGAACCAGTGCACACTTCCGCGACTTGCTGCTGAAGCAGCAAGGAATCCTCTACGAGGACCAGCAGGCCAGGGACAGACATGAAGTAGCTGACCTCAAGAAGGACTGCATACGATACCGATCCTACTGCTTAAGAGATGAGGGCTCGCAATGCCCTTGGCCAGTCCGGGTACATTGAGGTCATCCTGGCACTTCGCTCGCGTGTAGCACCTTCAACATCCACATCATCGCGACGGACCATCGAATTTGAGGCATGGGGTTTCTACGATTACTAGTATTACCATTATTATTACCAGTATTACTGTTATTATGAATCTAGGATTGCTGTTGTCGGTGACAGTTCTTCGTTTCGCGAGGCCACACTTTCCAATCGCAGCCTCCTCGGATGTGGGATGCAGTTTTCGCAGTGGTGTTGATGGTTGAAGTGATGCAGTGCCGCTTTGATCAGGCAGTGGACATCAAATACATGCCGGATGCCAAGCTTCTGGAGCTGTCTTGTCGTCCGTAGAAACGATGTCACTCGCACCCGCAGCTGGCCAGGACGTGAAGCTGCAACCAGCCGCCGATGCACACAGTCGCGAACCTACCTCGGAGCTGTTCTGCAGGAGGCCTTGAGGTCGCAACGAAGTCTGTGCGAAGGTGTGGCGAGCCGCTTCGACTTGCAGCTGCAGGCGCGACCTGCAGACACTTGTTTGATTCGGATTCTGGCCTGCTGCATCATGCTTTTTCGTTGCGGGTTGGGGAGTTCAGGCAGGCCGTTGCAGTGATTGTTGTTGTCTCTTTTCGGTAACGATCAGCCTGGACTCCTTGAGATTTGAGGCATACCGCTTAGGAGCGGTGAGCTGCGGCGCAGCACTCCCAGGAAGGTAGCGCGAGAAGAAGACAACCAAGTTTGCAAGCAATGGCAGGTCCGCGGCCGCGAAAGCCCTGGCCAGTCTTCATCCATGCTTTGGCCGCAGCACCAGCTGCAGTTTTATGGCAAACTGGAGGCAGGTTTGCTGGGCTGTGTTTGTTGTTCGGTCGCCAATCTTTCTGAAGCTGCTGAGTTCGCAAGCGCGCTGCTCGTAGCGTAGTTCAAACAATCGCATGCAGTCCAAGAGAGAAGAAGCTGCAGTAAAAGATGCACTTTTGCTTTTTCCTGCCACTTTCATCAATCCACGGCCAGGTGTTTGGTGTGGTGGATTCATCCGATGGCGGACCGCAGGCAAAGATATCTGCCAGGGTCGTGAAGAAAACCCATCCACATGCAGTCAGGTCGACTTGTCATACCTCCTGCCGGACAACCAAGCCCTGAGGTTCGCCAGAGTCAAAGGGCTGAGGTTCAGACGGCTTCGGGTCTACCTAACCCCTTTCACCCTACTTAAAAGCAACCCCCCATGATTTGCCATAGCATTTCTACAGCAATCTGGGGCCAGTCAAGGGCGCGGACTACGTGCATGATCAGTGGTATTCCCTTACATTCCCTAGGCAAACAGAGGTTGTATCATCTTCCACTCTATCATACTGTTGTACTGTCTGGTATTATATCGTATTGTAACATGTTGCGGCATATAACATTGCAACATTGGTGTTAGTAAAAGTACAATCTACACCGCCCCAGAAGCATCTACTATTCTGAACCCCAAACCCTCAACACCTTGTCAGGGCGCGGCTGCGTCTGCCGCTGGGTGCCACGCGGCTCATGGCTCCGGCGCCAAGCAAGCCCTTGGCTCCCTTGAAGGCCTTACAGCTCTGGGATGCTCCAGAAGCTCGACCTGAATTTTGGGTTTTAGGGTTGAGGGTAATCATAGGCACATTCCTATCAAATCGACATAGAAATGGCCCTTGCAATTGCAATAGCAGTAGTAATATTCATAGCAATAGCAGTAGCAATGGCAATATGACTAGCAGTAGTAAGTGTCATAGCAATTGAAATAGTCGTAGCAACAGCAATAGTTAGTAATAAAAAAGAAGCAGTCATAGTAATAGGAACAGTAATAGAGATACAGCGATTGTAGCAGTAATAGTCATAGCAATAGCAGGAGTAACAGTAATATTTTTTCAATAGCGGGGTTTCACGTACCTTTAAGTGTGCTCCTCTAAGGTGTCGATATGATGAGGTAGAGCAGCCCTGTCTACTACTACCCGTATCTACCTATATGAAAGGGGAAATGTCAGGTTACAAAATGCAGTACTGCAATATGATTCCTTATCTACATGGGCACACCACAAGGTTGCTCTTTTTTTCGCGGTTTAGGTTTAACCTTCAGAGCACTAGACCCCCGCCCCACGTCCGTGGGCGTCAAGGGTTTACAATTCGGGTTTTGGGAGCTTCGGACAGGTTTGGGGCGTAGAATAATAGTACATAACCCTAACAGTAAGTTAGTTGAGCCGATTTGAACCTTGATGGCCCATGGCTTCTAAGGAATTCCAACACACGGAAGTCGACCTCTCAGCAAATGTGATGTAAAAGGACGCAACGCTCGCAGATCTCTTGAGTCTCAGGGGCAGAGCTATGCGCATGTGTGTATGTGTGTACGTGTGTGGGTATGTATATATGCAGACTCTTTCAAGTGAGAGTCAGTGATTTGTAATTGTACTTCGTGCCACCACGTGAGGTCTCGTGCATTTGCCAGCTGCGGCCCTCCTTGGCAGGGCGTATGGGAGCCTTCGCCGTTTGGCAGGCAGCCGTGAGTGACAAGGTGTTGTCTGTCTTAACAGAGATGCTACGTAGCAGAATTGTAGCTGACATCGCCAACGGCTGACAGAAGAGCTCTCGGTTTCATAAAACCTAAACTTTTAAAACCTGAGCCGCTTCATGCTGGAAAGTCTGAAGCGGCTTGGTGTTCCAGACACGTAGGGGTCTGAAGCCAATGAGGGGCCAATCAACCCTCAAAGAAAAATCTTCACCCCTAAACTTCCTAAACCCAAAAAACACCCACGTCCACGAAAATATGCATCTTCAAGCCCAGCCAATAAGCCTTGCCCCTTCTCAAGAGGCCTTGGAGTTGGGTGGCGCCCTGAAGTGTCTCCCAGGCACCAACGATTTGGGCTGTGACCGTGGGGGGTTTCTCAACAATCCTTAACTAAAACTATGGGCTCGTAAAACACAAGCGCAAGATTCCTTCCGGAGTGCATAGATTCGAGCAGCCCGCTTGGGAACAAACCTACAAAATAGGAAGTAGTATAGCAAAGACAGCGTGTCTGCAAAGTAACCTACTATACCCCTGCGGACCAAGATCCAAAAGGTAGCGTGTCCGCAAAAACCCGACGCACAAACCAATTAACATGCCGAAGACCTCCTGTGGGCCGAACAACCCTGCGGGCGTGACGGTGATCCGTGTGATCAAATGCCGTAAATCACAGAGATTTCGCGGAGCTTTGGCTACCTTGCCTTTGGTTAGTAGGGAATGGAAGAATGGTAGTACTCGTAGTGATAATTGTACCCCTTTTCTCCATTCCCTACTCACCAAAGGCAAGCTACGGTTCTGTCCAGGTGCCGGGGGTTTCCGTGATGCGCTCTTCGGCGGATGCTACGTTGTGGGAGAGCCCGTGGACGTGCTCATGAGAGCCGAGCTGGGGCCAATGCCCGGGGAGGAGGCGAAGACGGCGAGAGCGAGTCAGGAGGCCAATTGGGGGGGGGCTTGAGGGCTTGGGGCTTAGGATTAGGATTTTAGGGATTTAGGGTTTTAGGGGTTTAGGGTTTTAAGGGTTTAGATTTAGGGTTTGGGATTTAGGATTTAGGGTTTAGGGAGGGTTTGGGGTTTGGGCGTGAGTGCTTGGGGGTTCTTCTGTTTTGGATTTGGGGTTTGGGTGTTTGGGTTTAGGGCTTGGGGCTTCGAAGTTCAGGGTAAGTCCCCCATACGGAGGCTTGCAGCCTGTCAATCCAAAGAGGGAATGAGCTGATTCGTTGATGTGATCAGCAACATCAACTGAGGGTTACTGTAGGGGCTTAAATAATCGTCAATACTCTTCAATGGGGTTCCTTATTATAGGTCTAGTATACTATACCCCAAAAACCCTATTCTAGTTATTCAGGCCCCTATATTACACTTCCGCACGAACCGAGGCAGTAGATTCGGAGCAATAGGTTGCAATAAGGGCGCTGCGTAGTGATCCAAGACCGCCTGTGACTTAGGAAAGAGGCCGGGGGTTACCCAAAGCCTGGGAACTGCAAACTGCTCGAGTAAACTGTTGGGGCAGGGGAGAGGTTTAGGGTTTAGGGTTCATGTCGATTCTTTAGATTTTCCGTTTGCTGGCTGACGATCGGCCGAAGTGCGGCGAGTTTGTTTGGCGTACGAAAACGACTTGGCCCCCAAAAGAGCCTTAACACAAACCATTGATGCCCACCCCGCCTTGTTTCGGGAAGCTACTTTGAGAACCTTACCTGGCAGTGCATATTTTGGGATCCTGAACCTTAAACCCTACACGATCACAGTTTTTGCAGACCTTGGCTTTTTTCTAGCTTATGAAGGATCCCATCTTCTCGGGTTCTGTAAATATAGGGTTCCCTTGCTGTCCCCAAACTTCTATAGAAACTCAGCCTTTTGAGGAGCTGTGCCGAATCGCGGTGCGCTCCACGTCCCATCTTGTGAACCGCGGCGTGGCGCAGGCAGAGTCCTCATGCTTCGCCCTTTGCGACTTTGTGCTTCATGGTGTTGAGGCAGCATGCTGCCTCCCATCCTCAACAGAACAGTGCGAAGACGGCTCTTCGGGGTTGTGACATGTTGTAATGATGTAATGTGGTTCGTAATCGGTTCTTTCCAATCTGCAGCATCTTAGCTTTCAGCCACGGCGCTCCAACTCGCTCATACTCGCTCCATGTCTTCGGTGGAGGATGGAGAGCCCTTGCTTCTCTGGAATGCACACATCCTGAGTCTGAGCCATGAGAAAGTCGTCATCAACAACTGGATGTACGTGAAGGGCGGGCTTATCCAAAAGGTGGGTCCAGGCGAGCCGCCGCCCCTCGAAGGCCAGGCGGCTCTTGGAATGGGCAGCTATTACTCTCATTCCTACCGCCATTACGATTCGAGCTCTTTTATGCTCATGACTACTATTCTGGTCATTATGACCAGGGTTCAGAGTTTAGGGTTTAGGGAGGACTTTTTGATCATTGTTAGGCACTTCGAAAAAGGTGAAGCCGAAGCCCCGAGCTTTCACCTACCAGCTTTTCTGGGTTGGAGGGTCTTCGGTTCTCTGTTTTTAGGGGGGGTTTGGGGGTTTTGGGGGTTTTGGGGGTTTTGGGGGTTTCAGGGTTTTTGGGGTTTGGGGGATTACGGGTTTTAAGGGTTTAGGGGTTTATGGGTTTAGGGGTTTAGGGTCTTAAGGGTTTAGCGGTTTAGGGTTGGTCTCCAGGAAAGAAGCTGGACTTGGAGGGGCGGACTGTTTTGCCTGGACTGGCAGACAGCCACTTGCATGCTCGCGCCTCAGGCATTGCAAAACACATGTAAGCATCCTTTGCTTGTTTTTGCATTTATTGTTATGATGATGAATATCCGTATCAAGACTCTTATGATCATTCTCCTATCATTATTGCTTAAAGCGGGCCCAGTACACCACAGGTTTTCGCGTTGGGGAAGGCAGATGCCGCGGTGAACCTGGGTGATTGCAAGTCCATCGCAGTGTTGCAGAAACGGACTCGTGAGCATCTGGAGGAAGACCCACCCTCGAAACTCCTTGAAGGCATGGTTTAGGTTTAGGGTTTAGGGTTTAGGGTTTAGGGTTTAGGGCTCCTTGAAGGCATGGGCTGGGATCAAGACCTCCTTGGCCGGATACCCAACAAGGTTGATCTTGATGCCTGCGTCCCTGACATACCGGCCGTGTTCTATCGGCGGTGTCACCATGTCTGTGTTCTGAATTCCGCGGCTCTGCGCAAGTGTGGCATCACATCAGAGACCCCAGATCCAGATGGCGGTGTCATTGAGCGAGATGCCGACAGGCAGCCAACCGGGGTTTTGAAAGAAAGCGCATTGACGCTGCTCCTTGAAAACCTGAAAGAGGAGGAGTCGTTGGAGCGGGAGAAGGCGATTCTGCTGAGGGGGCTGAAGCTCTGTGTGGAGAACGGTGTCACGTTCCTGCAATCGAATGATGGGAAGACTCTGGGAGGAATCCGGCGACCGTTTGACGCATATGCCTCCTTGGCAGATGAAGGGAGGCTACCATGTCGAATATTCTTGACGATCGAGTGGCAAGCAGTGGGAGAGGAAGGCATGCCCAAGTCGAAATCATCGCATCCCTCGGGCCTTCTCTCCTGCGATCGTGCGAAGATTTGGACTGATGGGGGCCTTGGCGCGAGCACAGCTGCGATGCTCGAGCCGTATGCGGACAATCCGACAAACAGTGGAGTCATGCAGATGACACGTCCAGAAATAGACTCCACGCTAGCGCTTCTGAAGAAGCATGGATTCAGAGTGGAAGCCCATGCAATTGGTGACCGAGCAGCCACAGATCTAGTTGATGCCTTCGAGAAGTTTATGCCTGGCAGTCAACGGCCTGTGCTGACACACTGCCAGTTTATGAATCGGGACTTGGTGAGCCGCATGTCGAAGCTGGGAATTATTGCCAACGTTCAGCCGCAGTTCGTGCCGTCCGATCTTCCAATCGTTAAAGCTCGAGTAGGTGAGGCCACGGAGCGATACAGATATGCCTATGTCTGGAGGACTTTAATGAAGAGCGGCGTGCACGTCGCCGGTGGCAGTGATGCACCTGTCGAGTCTCCCACTCCGCTGATTGGCATGGCTGATGCGATGGAGCATGCCTTGTTTGAGTCAGCTGCCAATCTGATCTGGGTCGTTATGAATTTCTGAGTGATTTTTCACTAGTTACCATCGTGTGGACGCTTTCGCCAGCCTACTGACGCACGCTGAGGAGAGGATGAGCTTTGCCGAAGCTCTGTCCATGTATACCACCGAAGCTGCCTATGCAGCCTGGGCAGAGGAGCCTTCCTAAACTCAAAACTCTAAACCACAATAATTATCGGTTCAACGAAAAACCCGGCTGATGTGACGCTTGCCCCGGCCACATCAGGACCGCCTGGGTAGTCTGGAGGAAGGTGCCTCGTCTTGCTATACACTGCACGAGGAATAACAGTAATTGCAAAGACTAGGTGCGCTGCTCGAAGACACTAGGACTGATGTCAGTCTAGCAGTAGTAAGATGTAGTAGCAGTCGTTCAGGCAGTGCTAGTCATGCTATTTCAAGACGGTGACACTACTAGCAGTCGCAAGAAGCCAGAACAGCCAACATGCATTGATCAAGCCCAGCGGTAGCAAAATCAATAAGCACTGAGTTTCAGCAGAAGGCAGCTGGGAAGTGGGGTAATGCTGCTTTTGACCGTCTTCCTCCCGCCATCCCTCCCGCTCTCTCTCGCCCTCTCTCTGTCCCTGTCTCCCTCTCTCTCTCTCTCTCTCTCTCTGTCTCTCTCTCTCTCTCTCTGTCTTTCTCTCTCTCTCTCGGTGTCTCTCGCGCTCTCTCTGTCTCTCTCTCTCTCTCTCCCCTGTCTGTGTCTCTGTCTCTGTCTCTGTCTCTGTCTCTGTCTCTGTCTCTCTCTCTCTCTTCTCCTCCTCTCTTGGAGATTGGGGGCGAGGGAGAAGATAGATCAAGACCACTAGTTATGTCAGTGTTCATAAACAGTCACAAACAGTGCTTTGATTCAGGAAAGCAGGCCGACTTTATCGTCCTCTCGTTGCGAACGAAGAGCGAACCCACTGCGGCTGAATTACGCAGTGCCGCAGTTGAGAAGGTGTTCGTGCACCTCGCCGCGCCATTCCGAGCTGTCCGAGAAGTTGAGACTTTCCCTGTTCAGGGTCGTGGAAGTCTTGCATGTGTTCGCAAAGCTTCCTCATTCTGCGGCTTTTTTGGTTTTGATTCCTCCCAATATGGCATCCCTCCGACTGAGCCGAGGCAAGGAAGCCAGGTCCATGATCAGAGTGATCAGAATGAGCGAAAGAGGCGCCGCTTGACTGTGGGAGATGCACCGGGAAAGAACGGAGCTCCCCTTTGGATCTCGGGGCGATGCCCATGCCCTGCATGCGACCCCTGAGGGACCAGTCACGACCTACAAAGGGAGGCATGAGCGTCGCGCCGCTCCGGAAAATGCTCATCTTGCAGCCGCGAATGCTTTGTGGGACCAAGGGAAACACGTCATATAGGGGAATTAGCAATTACCTGTACTATTTTGGGGGTTCCTTACTATAGTAGCAAAAAATAACGCCTGTATAGTAGCCGACTGCTCAGGGCACCTGGCATGAGACCTGCGCATCAGGCTGCCATCGATGTGCTGTGCGATCCAGTCGTGAGGCCGTGAGACCTTGGAGGTCAAGGGGCAATGTGCACCCCTGATCAATAGCCCGCCATTGTTTAGAAGTTTATGTTATGGGCCTTGGTATTAAGATCCTAGTTCTTCTGTACTAGGGGAGGGTGGCTTAGTCAGCAGTTGTCAGCATGAAGCGTCGTCTAGTGATGGTATTGTGCAGTGTGTTGTTTCTTGTCGTCAGTGAGCTGGCTGATCATGATGGGTGTGGTCGGTATCATGTTGATGACTGAGGACAAACCTTCGTAGGTGCCCCTTGCCGCTGCCCTGGCCTGACTGCAAAACGCAGATTGCGGCGCCAAAGTCAGCGCCCAGCTGGTGCCAAAGAGTGCCACCAGGTTAGGGAGCAAGGGCAAGGGCTGCAGAAGCTCGGGCAAAGTCGGTGGCCATGGTTGAGGCTCCACCCCAATTCGATTCGCGACGCCTCGGAGCTGTTCCGGAAAGTGTTCTGCACGCAGATGTGAGTTTCCGAAAATGGGGGACCCGAATATAGTACCCTAAATTTTTAAGTAGTAGGATCCTTATTAGAAGGACCCCAAAATAAGGTACCCCGATTTTCGGAAACTCCCAGATGTGAGATGAGATGATGAGATGGAAGAGTGCGTGCCGATTCTAAGGGGCTTGGAACCACGGCTACAGTGAGTACCCGCAGTATCGAAGCTTTGCTTCATGTCATGAGCTCAGCTGAACATCTGGCACAGCGGGACACTGTCCATGGACAGCTTTTGTGACATGTCCTGTGAGTCACCGCTGTAGCAGTGTACTGCCTTGTTAGACTTTTTTGGTATCCTCGAATTTGTGTTTCAGTTTAGCGTGGCCCTGCTGAGGCTGAGATCTCCACTTTCAGGGAAGTCTGAGTGCTGACGAAAGTGAGGATGCAAAATGCATGCAACAGCCGGCTTGCGCGAAAAGGCTCAAAGCAAAGCAGCTTGCATACCGAGAATTCATCAGCCATGCCTGTTCAACTCCTGGAACTGACGGCGTCAACTTCGCCGTCAGATAGGTGCGAGGCATGCCTGGCAGTCATTGCTGGCCACAGTCGTGGATGTAAGGATGTAGACCTGGTGCCATGAGTCTTGTGGTACCTCCTTCTCATGTCGGCTATCGGCTATCAGCTGTTACAGTTACTGGTACAGTCGGCCCAGCCGTGGAGAGTGCCAGAATAGCGAAAGTGACCTGTCAATCTTGTCAGGACATTCTTTGGCGGTTTTGTTCCAGGTAGACGGGATTCTGAGCACGTCGCATCTTTGCTCCTCCATGGGGGTTGCCTGAATGTTAGCTGACAAGAAAGCAGGGCTGCTATGGGCCCGGTAGTTCTCTAAATCCGAGTGATATCGCAGAGGAGGCTTTCGCCCCGAGGCTTGCTAGGCCGCGGGGCCTGGCAGGCCATATTGTAGGGGCCTCAACAATGCGAACAGGGTTTGGGGGGTTCCCTATTGTTATAATTTAAAGAGTGTACGGGCCAGCCGAAGATGCAGGTGAATGAAGAGTCCACTCACTAGCTAGGAACAACTTGAAAGCAAAGCAGGACGGATAAACACTGGATATATATATATATATATATATAAATATAAATATATATATATATATATATATATATATATTAAAAACTCGGGCCTGTAGTGTGACGCTTTCTGATCATTTCCAGTTGCATAATATACACCCCAAACCCTATTCTAGTTATTGAGGCCCCTACATGACTGGTCGCCTTACGAGCTGGAGGTGTCTTGTCTTCAGGACACTCCAAGGACATTTTGTCCTGCCAGTTCAATTCACGATTCACGCCCTTTGGGGGGCGCCCGAGATCGGTGCATCGACTCTTCTAAGAGTCCTGCAAATGTCCATCTTCCTGCCTGAGGTCTCTGCACCACAAACCTTAGCCGGGACTCAGGTACCTGCCTAGTCTTCCACAAAGCATGCATCTGAAGAAGCGCAAGAAGTGGCGGACATCAGCTGAAGACCACCTTCACCAAGGATGGAACAGCTCTAGCAAATATGGTGCTGGTATGTGCCGTTTCACGGTTGTCACAACATGACCAGCCATGAGGATGATGATGGTGATGCTGGTGCTGCTGCTGCTGCTGATGATGATTGGTGGTGGTGGTGGTGGTGGTGGTGGTGGTGGTGGTGGTGGTGGTGGTGGTGGTGGTGGGGGTGGCGATGGCGGTGGCGGTGGCGGTGGCGGTGGCGGTGGCGGTGGCGATGGCGGTGGCGGTGGCGGTGGCGGTGGCGGTGGTGGTGGTGGTGGTGGTGGTGGTATGATGGCGGTCATGGTACGGCTGGCGACAACAACAGCAATAACAACAGCTACCGCTGCTGCTGCTGCTGCTGCTGGTGTTGTGGCTGATGGTGGTGGATGTGCCTGTGCTGCTGCTGCTGCCGCTGCTGCTGCTGCCGCTGCTGCTGCTGCTGCTTACCGGTTCTAGCACCCCTGGGTAACGCTCGAGGTCAGAGTAGCGTGGCAGCGACGGTAGTTTTGATAGTTTGAGTGTCGAATGCATATATAGCAGTTATGACAACCATTACTGGCCAGAGTAGCTAGTGTCGCAGACCGAGTGCCGGAAGGAATTCAGCCATGTGCTGGAGATCTAACGACTCTAAAAGCTTTTGAGCTTTTCAGAGTGGGAGATAAAATTGCGTCCGACGGGCAGATGTCTGATAGTCACTGATAGTCAGAATGGAGCTTTCTCAGAATGCATGGTTTCGAACACGCTTCTTCAAAGGCTTTCTCTCCCCAAGATCCTGTTGCAATTTAAGAACGCTGGATTTGCCAGGCGTGAGTTTCTGAGTGTGTTCGTTACAGAAGTGACGGCGCACGAGATCCGTTTCTTCTGCCATCAGCAGGTTGTGTCGAGTTGTCTGGCACCATTGCCACAGTTTTGGCAAGAATCATGGCATACTGCCAAATCGCAACCTGTTGATTATGAGTCCCATGGCCTTCTGCCAACAGGAGATGCTTTGATACTCCTCTCTTTAAAGAGCGTCGCTCGTTCAGGGTCGCCGGACCTCCTATCAGGGGCCGTCCTTGGACATGGAGAGAAAGGGCGTGCGTGATGCAAGTCATGCAGTGATACAGGGGCCTTACTAATTACTTTTTTGGTGGTTCCAAAAGATAATTACATTATAATGGGCCATAATGGGCCCCAACACCCTATTCTAGTCGTACCGTGGCTGCAGGCAGTGAAGTGCGTGAAGCTTGGAATGCGGCAGGACACATCTGCGCAAGCGGTGGTCATGAGCTCGTCGAAGGTTGGCGGCGAAGTTCCCCAGGGCCTCCCACTCTCATTGGCGCTTCTCCCGCCGCCTACTGCGGATACTGTGACGACGACGAGGCTGACGATCACCACAAGCACCACCAGTATCACAGGCATCACCAGCACGACCACGACCACGAAGACGACGACATGACGACTTTACCACGACGACGACCACGACCACCGCAATGATTGCTGCTACTGGAGCTGCTACAGGTTACACGTTTACACGCATTGCCATCAGGTAGTAATTCTTGCAAGAGTACTCGCTTCGCTGCGACGGCGACAAGGACGATGACGATAACTAGATGCAACTAGCACTACCACAACCACTACCTCTACCACTGCCACTAGTGCTCCCACTCCCACCCCCCATTCTCACGCTACTAACACTATCGCTACCGCTCCCACCGCCGCTACCACTACGGCTACCACAGCCACTGGTGCTCCACTGATGCTTCTACCTGCTGGGCCTCCTCCTCCTCCTCCTCCTACTTCTCTGCCCTCTACTATTTCTAATCCTGCTGCTGCTGCTACTGCTACTGCCTATGCTGAAGCTGCATGACGGCAACTGCGACTGCGGCGACGACGACTAGTACCACGAACCAGTCGTCTTTGCTCCTCCTCCTCCTCCTCCTCCTCCTCCTACTGATAGTGCTAAAGCTACTACTTGTGTGAACAGCCTAAACCCTCAGCCCATAAACTCTACAACCTGACAGAATGGAAGCCTTGGTAACCTCAAACGCTAAAGCCCGAAACCTTTATAGAGCCTCAGATAAGTACCATTTATGGTACCTGTATAATGCCCTTAACCTTCAACCTTTCCGACCTCGAATAAACCCTTGCTGTAACCTTATAGAACCCTTATGGTACCCTTATCGTATCTCTTCAGTACCCTTATAGTCTATAGTATCCGTATGTTTTAAGCTTAATTAACCCTTAACCTTCAAACTTAAACAAACCCATGCAAACCTTAAACCCTCAACCCTAAACCCCCAACCCTGCCCTACACCTTAGAACTTTGAACCCCCAACCCTAAACCCTACTCCCAGTAGTCACTTTAAACCCTCAACCCTTAAGACCTCGAAAAAACCCTCATTGTAATAGTACCGTTATGGTACCCTTAAAGTATCTCTTCAGTACCCACCTTAGACCCCCAACCCTAAACCCAACACCTTATAAACCACAAACACTACACCTCAAACCCTTGAACCCCCAACCGTTATGGTACCCTTATGGTACCTTAACCCCCCGAACCTTAAGACAACCCTTGTTGCAATGGTACCATTATGGTACCTTAAATCCCGAACCTTTAAGAAGCTCCGAAGGCCGGCTTTGGCAACCTCGGAGCGCCCAGCGGTTTGGTGGGGGTTGCCAGGCGCCGCAAGCAGGGAGGCATTCCTTCAGGGTTTAGGGTTCAGGGTTTCGGTTAGGGTTTAGGGTTTAGGCTTTCGTGAAGGGTTTGGGGTTTAGGGT